TACCATATATTTCTTCACAAGTCAAGATTTGTAATAAAGTAAAACGTTCTGACTTCAATGCAATAAAAGTAAATACTAATTGATCAAAATATGACCTCGGGGATAAAAAAAATTATTCTAAACATGTTTATAAGCTCTCTAACTTTAGCTAATACTGCAATAACTAATTTAGAATTCTAAATTATTTAGTTATTGGAGTATTAACTAAAGTTAGAGAGCTTATAAAAATACAGGAACCAACAGCAACCAAGCAGAGAATCATATCAAGAACTCAACCTCTTTTACAATAGTGGCCTCGGATTTTATACATTGGCTCGGTTCTGACTTTTTTCTTCTCCTTCCCTGATTTGATTTTCCACTTAGTTGCTGTTGGTGTACAGATGAGATTGGAGACTACTACTCTAAGTGAAGTAACTCAGGAATGGAAAACCAGACATTGCATGTTCCTAAGCTATGAGGACAAAAAGGCATAGAATGACACAATGGACTTTGGAGACTTAGGGAGATGAAGGAAGGAGGGGCAAGGGATAAAAGACTACAAATAGGATGCTGTGCATAGTGCTTGGGTGACAGGTGCACCAAAATCTCACAAATCACTAAAGAACTTGCTAATGTAACCAATTACCACCTGTACCCCAATAACTTATGGAAAAAAATTCCAAGCCAAAGACTGAGCGGGGGCACCTAATCTCTCAAGTTGCCTGCTTGAGCCTTTCCCAAGCGTACTTTGCTCTTTTTAAACAAACTTTTACCTCTACCTTAAACCCAGCTCTGCCTCCTCAGCTGAATTATTTCCTCTGAGAAGGCAAGGACCCAAATTGCTGCATGTTGTTTTACACTCACTGCTGGTAACAGTCTTGCTGCCTCAGGGGTGGCAGAGGCAGGAGAAAATTCACGTATACGTGAATCTGTACGGTTCAAACCCATATTGTTCAAGGGTCAACTGTACTTACATACTTGTATTTTTTAACTTGAAGATGCACATCTCATATTTGTACTGTTAATGAATACAATATTTAAAAGGCTTCTATATATGTTTAAGAAAATAATATGGCATCATTCTTAAAATATGTTACACACCATAAAATTCATTTGTCATAAATATATATTCTGCAATAATGTTCATCCTTACATTCCACAAAATATTCTGACTCATTACATTGATATGGTAGTTCTTACAGGACATAAGAGTGAGGAAGAAAAAAGTATTCTTTTGGAGGCCTTAGACATATTTGAATCATATTGGTGATAAACAACCTCAGTAAAGTTTCTGGAGGTCCAGAGGTCACCATTGTACTGGTCTCTGGTAGACTTGGACATCAAGTGATTATGTGACTTAAGCTACCCATTTTAACCTAGATACTGTCATACTCTTCAAACCAGGAAATTGAGAAATAAGAATGGCATTCTATCATCAAGTGAAAATGATATATAAGAAATCAAATTTAGCAGTTCCAGGGCTGTGCATGAGTTGCTTTAGCTTATGGCTCAGCACCTTCAACAACTGCTCTTTACTGAATTGCCTTCTCTCCCTCAATGCACACCTGTGGCTACATGGAGATTTCCTTATAACCAGTGGACTGAAAAAAACTTTGGCTTGAAGCTACAGATGGTTTTACATAATATATTGACATTAATTAGAAGTGAAGATCCACAGCTTTGCACTTCCAATTAAGTGTTTATGTTCAAGTGTTAATATAGTTAGGATTATGGTTGTGGTCCTATAGAACATCGGTGAGGATAAATTCTCTATCTGGGAAGAAAGCAAGGCACTGCATTTGGTTGATACCTTGGTTTGGCTAGAAAGTAATCATGAATCTATATGGTTTCATGGACAGTTGATAATAGTTTGTTTAAATGGTCTTGGCTTAGAACAAATAGAATTGGAAAATGGGTGACAAAGAAGCCAGGGGAAGAATTATGGTGATCGACGTCTCAGACTGAGCACAGATTGTCAAATACATGTCTCATTTGAATGCTTAGCAAAGGGCATCTACTGGAGAGGAAGCTTTATTAATAAGGTATATAAATTACAAGTCCTTTGCATATTAGCCTATTTTTTCAGCCACTCCAATGCTTACTCAATGGGCCCCTATATAGAGAACACATGATCAGGGTTTCAGGTTATGTTACAAAACCTCATGGAATTCTTCATAAGCATTATCTGGCTATCGATGCTGATGAACCTCTTGAATACTGAGCCACTAATATTACATGGTATTCTGTGAGAATCTATTAGCCCCTTAATGGGAGGTGTATAACACTGGAATCCTTCTATTGTGAAATATGTACAATTTTTGCCTGGTTGGAATAAACATGTATTCTGGATATGCATATTCTTCCTAACCATAATATTTGAGCTTGCATCACCATGTATGGATTTAATTAAGACCATATTCACCATAATGGTATTCTGTACAAAATTGCTGCACAGTAAATTTATTTTAGAGCAACACAGATGAAGCAATGGGCTTATTACCATAGGATTCACTGGTCTTAGCTAGTATGTGATTACCCATAACCAGAAGGTGTAATAGAATAGTGGAATAGTGCATACTGAAGACTCCTATATGGCTCTTATGGTAGACAAAGTCTTCATTCCCTGGATTTGGAAATGAAGATGTGACAATAGGAGTAGCTTCTCTCACTGTTGTACCTAATTACTCACCAAAGTTTTGCTTTCCATTTCCACAGTTTTCGACCCTGTTGGGTTGCAGATATTTGTTACTAAGGAAGATATGTTTCCACCAGAGTAGAAAATAGCATTTTCAGCTTAGGAAGTTCCATCTATGTTTAGATTCAGCGAGTTAGAAACACTTTTCTTCTAAAAGCTGCATTTGGATATTCCAGAGTGAATAGGCATTTTCATTAAATTGAAATTAAGGCTGGCTATGACAATATGAGTTAGTATCTGTAAAGATGATTCTCAAAGAAAGCAGAAGGAATTAATGTATGCATAATTAGCTCAGATAGCATGGTAAAAAGTGTCTAAAATAATTGAGTTGAGAGCATTTACTACTTGGATTTTGTCACGACAAATTATATTACAAAGACAATATAAACTGTATTTTTCTTTCTTATATCCTTCTTTCAGAATTTCTTAAAAATCAATACAAATTGTACTTAACTCTAAAATTTACATTGTAAGGAAACATGGAGTTATAAAGATATTCAACATTCTTGGTAAGAAAAAAGTTGCTTAAAATACACAGTGATGAAAATGCAGTGAATGAATATCTACTTGGGTATAAATTGAGGCTCTAACTACAATGGAGATTATAGTTGACTGCTAGTCCTTCACTATTATCAGTGTGCAGGCATGTACTTAGAAGGTGTATCATTTGTTTACAATATATATTACTTGATCAAACTAGGTTGCAAATATGTTACATTAATTTTTTGTTTTCAATTGTAATAGAAATGTTCTTTTTTTTCTATATTCTTTTTTAATTGTATTTTAGGTTCTGGGGTACATGTGCAGATCATGCAGGATTGTTGCATAGGTACATACATGGCAAGGTGGTTTGCTGCCTCCTTCCCCCCATCACCTATATCTGCTATTTCTCCCCCTGTTATCCCTCCCCACCCTCTCCACCCCCTGCTGTCCCTCCCCTAGTCCCCGCCAACTGAGCACCGTGTATGATGCCCCCCTCCCTGTGTCCATGTGTTCTCATTGAGTTACTCTTTCACTTACTTTGTAAGAAATAAATTTCTTATTCCATTGAGCAGTGCCAAATGATAAATGAACACTCTTGGAAATTAGCTTGATCTCCAAATGCTTTAAGAAAAATAAGACTGTTCTAACTTGAGAACATCTAATTCCTATTTCTGAGTCTTTTTTTTTTATTCACAATTTGAGGATAATATTCAAAGCATTCAAGGTAATACATACGACATGATGGCATAGACAAGGCAGTCAAGGATAATTGTAATTTTTATTCTGCCAGTTGCTTTATTCCACTTCTACATTAAAAGAAATTAAAACTACAGATGTATCATTTTATTTTAAGATTTTTATTGTTCTTACAACTGAATTTCAATCCACTTAATTTATAATTCTGGAAAAATAAAAGAAATATTATTTATTGTTTAAAACTTAGGACAATTTTTAAATACCAAAAAGCTTATTTATATATAAAATATAAATTTTATATTTATTGTAACAAATAAATGTCATAGATACTTTAATTAAAAATTGGCTTATATTGAGTAAAATATTATAAGTACCTATTATGTATTAACCATTATACTATTACAGTTTCAATAATTACAGTTTCAATAAATGATGTAAGGCATGGTCCCTGCCTCCTGGAGATTACATTTCAAGACTTTTACAAAAGTGGTTAACAATTTAAAGCACAAATATCAGTATCTGAGACTGAGATAATTAAGGGAAATATTAGAATTTATTTTAAGATTTTTATTGAGTAAATAAAAAACTAAACAGAGTAACCTCCAATGATATTCCTTAAGTACTGTACCACTTTAATTTTATTCTCTATTTTTCCCCTTTTTAACATTTGTATGTGGGTATGAAACTAGATTAAGAAAAATCATAACAATATTTTGCTTTTTGATAAAAGGTAAGTAAAGTTTAGAATAAGGTATCAATGTTACAGAAACACTTTTGTTTTTGTGGGGTTTTTTCCCCCAATGAGGTTCAGAGAAAATTCAAAAGAAAGCCATTAAGATGCAGTCCATCAGAATGGATGTATGGCTTTGTGAAATAACTTACAGCATTTTGCTTAAAGGCATAGGAAGATAGATTAGATGGTTCTCCCATAACAAAAGATCTGTAGTATATGGATTTTAGAAAAATGTTTCACCGTGTTCTGCTGGTTGATTAGGAAATGTTGAAATTCTCTGAATTTTGTTAACTCTATTCCTATGTCTGAAGCCAAGAGACTAACATATAGATAAAGTAAATGCTCTGAATTTTCAACCTACTTTACAACGAAAATATAGTCAATTTGAAGTACTCCCATGGAGGATTGTGAGCATTAAATATTTACCTTGGAATTTATGTAATACCTTCTAAACCGCTTCATAGCATTTCTCATCTCTTTATTTCTCAGGGTATAAATGGCTGGATTTAGGAGAGGGGTAATAACAGAATAGAACACAGCAAGAAATTTGTCCACCCAGGTGATGCTAAGTGGCCACACATAGATGAAGATGCAGGGCCCAAAGAAGAGCACCACGACTGTGATGTGGGCAGTACAGGTAGAGAGTGCCTTAGAAGCCCCAGTTTTAGAGCTTCGGTAGACAGTGAGAAGAATATATGTGTAGGATGTCAGCAACAGAATAAAGCAAGTCATGGCCAGAATTCCACTGTCACCATTCATTAACATTTCCAAGTTAGAGGAATCCATGCAGGCAAGCTTGATTACCAGTGGTATATCACAGAAGAAGCTGTCTATCTCCCTGGGGCCACAGAATGGCAGCTGAACAATCACAACCATCTGACTCATGGCATGCACAAAGCCAAAAGTCCAGGAAGTCAACACCAGTCTAATACATCTTTGCAGGCTCATAATGGTGGAGTAGTGGAGTGGTTTGCAGATTGCCACATAGCGATCATAGGACATTACCACCAGTAGCACCATCTCACCTCCTCCAACAAAATGCACAAAAATGATCTGGGACATGCAGCCTCCAAAGGAAATGGTCTTGTTCACTCTAAGAAAGTCTGTAATCATCTTAGGAGTGGTGATGGAGGAAAGCCACATATCAACAAAGGACAGGTTGGCCAATAAGAAGTACATTGGGGAATGGAGATGGGAATCAATAATGATTAAGATCATGATGACAACATTTCCAGATACAATGATCAGATAAAGCAAAAAAAATATTACTAAGAGTATAATCTGAATATTGCATGAATGGTAAAGTCCCAGAAGCACAAATTCTGAAATTACAGACTGATTTACTTTATCCAATTTATTCATTGTGAACCTAGAGAGAACAGATTATCAGTTAGTGAGCTGAAGCATACTTAGTTTTTAGAATTTGGTGTTTGTATTGAAATTTAGATCTATGTCTGATAGTAAAAAGTATAATCGTGAAGATAAATCCTGGTCTAATATACATAGTATTATCCCAAAAAGAGAAGCTAACTGTGTCCAACTGGCTCTCTAAGAGACAAAGCCTGAGATGGGATTGTTATGAAAATGATTCACTGAATTTATTGAGAAGGTAGTCTCATGAGAAGATAAGGCAGGTTAGCAAATTGAAAGGCTAAAAAGTTTGTGGCATCTCCAGAAACTAGCTATTCCTCCTGTCCAGAAAGAAGAATCTAATAGGGCACCATCACCAACTTAGGTTATACCTTAGAAAGATAATGGTGAAGAGACATTGGAATTCAGTACAAATTACATAATACAACATTATGATTTCTCGATATCATTTATATAATGCATTATAAAACTAATTTTTAGCTTATCACTCTATATGTTGAGGCAATCTTTTAGACAGAAGCTACATAAAAAGTCACATCTTGCATGATGATTTAAATACAAAACCAAGCACATAACTTTAAAATCTAGACTTAAATAAAATTTACATAGTTAACTAAATGGATTAGGAAAAAATAATCTGTGAAGAGTCATGTAAAAATGAGACTAACCAAAGTGGAAGGTCACTAGATTCATATTCTGAGCTTAACTCTGAAAGGAAGCTCCTTATAACTCAAGCTTATTAATAGGAAATATTTAGTTTTCACTGAGAAAGTAGAGCAAGATGGCAGAATAGAACCCTGAAGCAATCATCAGCCAGTATGAACATCAAATTGAAGAAATATCCACATATGAGAACATATTTACAAGAGGTAAACCAGGTGAGATATCACAGTTTCTAGTTTTAGCTTCCTAACAAGAAAAGATGCATTAAAGAAGGTAGAAACGAGCCTTGCATTGCCTATATTACCTCTCCTCCAACCTCAAGCAGTGTGGCATGGAAAAACAATCTGTCTTAGGACGTGGGATTCAAGTACAACTTAGCATAGTGCTAGTGACTTGATAAGTAAAAGAAAAAATTGATGAGCTTAAAGACAGGCTATTTGAAAACACACAGAAGAGAAAAAAAGAATGAAAAGAAATTTAAAAAAACACTTAAAAATCTATGATATAGTATCAAAAGAGCAAATATAAGAATAATCGGCCTTCAAGGGAGAGTAGAGAAAAAAGATATAGAAAGATTATTCAAAGAAATAATATCAGAAAACTTTTCAAACCTGGAGAAAGATATAAATATCCAAGTACAAGAATATTTAAGATGATCAAGAAGATCAAGTAAGACTCTCAGGTCATATAATAATTTAATTATTAAAGGTGATAATTTAGAAGAAGACTGAATTTTGCAGGGGATTTTGCCTTGGAACTCATTACCAGTCACACCACAGTAAAACAGCACCAGGCAAAACCCCACAGCTCCTTCTTCTAGGCTGGTGCCCACAAATCAGCTTAAACCTGCCTGGGCCAGAAAGGAATCCACCACCATAATGGGATGAGCACAAGTTTCAGCCTAGCTTCACTGCTGAATGACTAACATGGATTCAGACCATGAGTAAATTTCAGTGGCAGGTGGGTCATTGTGACTGCAACCCTTGGACAGGCCTCAATGATATTCTGGTCTGGAAAGCTATGGGCATTAGGTGCAACTCAGTGAAACTTACTTGTGGTAGCCATTGGATTGTCTGCATCCATGCAGTGCAGTCTGAAGAGACTCCTTTTACTTTGGGGAGTAAGAAGTTTTCAGGGGACTTTGCCTTGGAAGTTAGTACCAGCCTCACCACAGGAAAACACATCACTGGGAAGAAATCTGTGGGTCCTAGTTGCAGGCCTATATTTTCAGATTGAGCTTTTAGACCCACCTTGGGCCAGAAAAAAAAAAAAAAACTTCATTCCTGGTGGGATGGACCTAAGTACCAACTTCACCACTGACTGACAAAGTGGCCTCAGGCTCTGAATAAATATCAGTGGCTGTCAGGCAGTAATGTCTTCAGGCCTCAAGTAAAGTGCAGTACTGTTCTAGTCTGGAAGACTGTGGGATTCAGGGGCAACTTAGCATGGTGCTAGCTGACTTGATAATTTAAAAAAAATTATGAGCTTGAAGACAAGCTATTTGAAAATACACAGAAAAGAAAAAAGAAAAGAAATAAAAAACACTTATAAAATTTATGATATAGCATCAAAAGAGCAAAAACAAGTATAATTGGCCTTCAAGGGAGAGTAGAGAAAGAAAAGGTATAGAAAGAGTATTCAAAAATATAATATCAAAAAACTTTGAAAACATAGAGAAAGATATAAAATCCAAGTACAAGAATGTTTAAGATTATCAAGAAGATCAATCAAGTAAGACTCCAAGGGCAAATAATAAATTCTCAAAGGTATATACAAAGTGAGGATTCTAAAAGTAGCAAGAGAAAAAAATAGTATATAAAGAAGTTTTGATAAATCTGGCAGCAGAATTCTTAGCAGAAACTAAGGCAGGAGGGGTGAGATGACATATTTATAGGGCTGACTGAAAAAAAAAAAAAAATCTGTCAGTCAACTGGGAATACTGTACCCAGCAAACATGATGGAGAGAGACTCTCAGACAAACAACAGTTGAGAAACTTTTTCAATGCCAGACATGTCTTACAAGAAATTCTAAAGGGAGTTCTTAAGTATGAAAGAAAAGAATGCTAGAGTTCATAAAAAATCTGAAGATACAGAAGTAATTAATGAAAATAAGTATACCAATATGTTTAGAGTACTCTAATGTTGTAATTGTGTGTAAACCATTGATGTCATTGATGTCCTTAGCATATAGACTAAAAGACAAAACTGTTAAAGTAACAATAACTACAAACATTTTTCAAGATATAGGTAATGCAAAAAAAGATGTAAATGGAGACATCAACAAGTAAAAGTGTAGAGATTTTTGTTTATCATTTTATTTGTGATCAAAGTTAAGTTGTCATCTTAAAATTATTATAATTACTTATAACTATATTTTGTATGCCTCATGGTAACAACAAAAGAAAAGCCTATAATAAACACACTAACAATAAAAAAGCAAGGGATTAAAGCATACTACCAGAGAAAAGTACTTAACCACAAAGGAAGATACTAAGAAAGGAAGAAAGACAGGAGTTAAACAATTAGAAAACAGGTAACAACATGGCGGTAGTAATTCCTTGCCTATCAATACAGCAGGTTGACATAACAATTTTAAATATATATGCACCTAACACTGGCTCACCCTAATGTATAAAGCAAATATTTACAACCTAAAAGGAGAAGTCAACTGCAATACTATAATAATAGGGGATTTCAACACCTCATTTTCAGCAATAAACAGATCACCCAGACAGGAAATCAACAAGAAACCTTAGATTCAACTGCACTCTAGACTATATGAACCATACAGATACTTGCAGAACATTTTACCCAATAACTGAAGGTTAAACATTTTCCTCAATAGTATATGGAACATTCTCCAAAATAGACCATATGTTAGGATACAAACAAATCTTAACCAATCTACAGAACCAATGAAATCCCTGTTAAAATACTAATGATATTTTCCACAGAAATAGATAAAAATCCTAAATTCATGTGGAAAGGCACATGACCCCAGATAGACAATGCAGTCTTGAGCAAAAAGAGCAAAGCTGGAAGCATCTTCATAATACACTATAAGATATTGTAATCCAAGTAACATAGTACTGGCATAAAAACACACATAGACCAACAGAACAGAATAAGAGGACCCCAGAAATAAATTCATGCATTTACAGTCAACTGATTTTTGACAAACATTCCAAGAACATATTGGGGAAAGGACAGTCACTTCAATAAATTGTGCTGAGAAAACTGAATATCCACATGCAGAATAATGAAACTAGACTCCTCTTACAGTACACAAAACTCTAAATGGATTAAAACAATTAAATGTAAGACCTGAAACTATGAAATTACTAGAAGAAAATATAGGAGAAATGCAATATGAAACTGAGCTTGGCAAGAATATTTTTGAATTAGGCCTCAAGAGCATAGGCTGCAAAAGTAAAAATAGACAAATGGGGTTATATAAAACTAAAATTATCCTGCACAGCAAAGTAATCCACCAAGTGAAGGGACAACCTACAGAATGGGAGAGAGTATTTGCCAACTATCCATTTGACAAGGGGTTAGTAACCAGAATGTATAAGGAACCCAAACAATTCAATAGCAAACAAACAAATCTGATTTAAAAATGGACAAAAAACTTGAATAAACATTTCTCAAAAGAAGATACACAAACGGCCAATAGGTATATGGAAATATGCTTAGCATTACAAATTATGAAGAAAAATCAAAATCACAACGTGACATCACCTCAACCCAGTTAGAATGGCTAACATCAAGAAGGCAAAAAATAACACATGCTGATGTAGATGTGAGGAAAACAGACTGTATTGCACTGTTCATTGGTATGTAAATTACTACTGTGCAGCCATCATGAAAAACAGTATAGTAGTTTCCAAAAAAATTAAAACTACCACATGATCCAACAATTCCATTACCGGTTTTATATTTAAAGGAAATGAAATCAGTATGTAAAGGAGATAGCTGCATTCTCATGTTTATTGCAGCACTACTCAAAATAACCAAAATACGAGATCAACCTAAATGCCACCTACAGATGAATGAAGAAAGAAAATGTGGTATGAACATAGAATGGAATACTGTTCAGCCACAAAACAGAATAAAACTCTGTAATTTGCAGCAACATTAATGAACTAGGACATTTACATTAAGTGAAGAAAGCCACAGAAAGACAACATCCATGGTCTCATGTGGATTCTAAAAAAGCGGGTTTAGTAGAAGTAGAGTATAGAATAGTGGTTCAAAGCCTGGAGATGGTAGGAGGGAAGGGAGGATCAAGAGAGGTCGGTCAATGAATATATAGTTACAGTTAAAAA